AAACCTGGTTTCTGCGTAATTAGGATGAGGGATCACTTAGCCTTATTAAACGCGCACTCGAAATGACGATGCTAGGAGTATCCCGTTCCACACAAGTAAGGGATGAGATCCGAAGCTCCGACCTGCGTCAACGATCAAAGATCAAAGTTGCCGTTTAACACGCCAAACAGTCGAAGCTAAGATGGGCTGGACACGTAACGCGTACGAATGACAAACGATGGACAATAGCCGTTAGTGACTGGATTTCTCTGGATGTCAAACACAGTGCAGGAAGACTCCCGACTCGATGGTCAGAGTTTTTCACGAAGAGCCTAGAAGAAAGATATGATGCTCGACGATTCCCTAGAACGAGCAGAACCCACTGGGCATCTCTTGCACGCGACAGGGAAAAATGGAAGACCCGGATGGTGTGGTGGTGAAGTGCGCTACTCCCCCGTAAGGACAATAGCGTGCTTTCGTTCCCCACCGCATACACCTGTAGTCCGGAGTTTTGCAAATATCTCAGCACTACTATATACGAGTTATATTTCGCAATATACCCTGCCATTAGAAGGAAAAAGGCAGTAAATAAAAGGGTTAAAAATGGAAGATTTATTGGCGCTCTTTGAAGTCACTCGATGATCTCAACGACACTGCAGGTGATTTGGTGATACAGGTGATCTCTTTTTGCTGTGTGTCTAGAGGAGGACTTGGTCTACTTTAAGTTTACCGACAGGGTGTTATTTTATACGGATGCACGGTGACCTGCCCGTCTCGCCAACATATTTCTCCCCAAACGCTTTACGAATAATTATATAAACCGTAGGCGAATCTTTGCAATCCGTATCGAGAGCAGATTATGCAATTTTGCGTTATTCAGTGATGGTCGCACAAACGGTTACGAACTAACTGGCTTCTGATTCGGCCTTCAGTGCTCGGTGGAATTTCAACCTTTTCTATGGAATTCTGTTTGCCTGCCGTTTTTAAAAAGCCTTTTATAGCTGCACTTATTTCATTGGAAATGTGCGGGGATAAACGAGATATTATTCGCACTAGCATTGCTGTTCGGTAGTTACGTAATTTTTTCTCCGATAGCATAGCCGAGGAGCTACAGTTTCGTAGCCGTTGAAATGGCCATTTGTTGAGTTAGTTTCAGGAATCCCTCTTTCTACTTTCTTCCTACGCGCATATTGGTAGCTGTTCGAAGTACATTTGTTACAAGCGCCGTTTCCGTTAGTGCTGAGGGAGGAAATCCAGTGTGCTTTTGTTACTTAGTTTTCTATACTATTTCGTCATGTAGCCACCTTCTGATACGTTATCGAGATTAGAAACCAGTTTTATTTCGGTTTCTCCGGGTTGAAATTTATGCACTCTGGCGCAAATTTAGCAATAAAAATTATTTACCCGTCTCTCGAATTATTTTCCATCGGGTGAAGCAGCTGACAAATCAATCATCTATACATCTACATTAGAGTGAAAACAGGGGATCGACCACTGTGCTGAGCTAAGTAGGAACAAAAACAAGTGAAAATAGAAGTAGTGGTAAAGAATAAAGCTAAAAGAGGATAAAGTTTTCGGCGACAATCAACCACTGAATTATCAGCCGTGCATTCGGCATCGTTAACCATCGTAAGAGTTAATCAAATGTATCTCTATATAATGGCCTACTCGCGTGGCCTATCGATGCATGGAATCAGTGTTGCTGCCCTCCCAGAGAAGTCTGGCACCAACTCGCCCATCATGGAGAGATGAAAAGTTTGATGAGCCTGGAGCACTGGAATCGATCGCGTGCGTATTGCAGCGCTCCTACGACCACTGCGCCACACGCGCAGAATGTTGACAAAAATAAACAGTTAATTAATTAAATTTACAAGCTACCTTATTAATAGGGGTAAAAAAATTAAACTGATCGAATATTGCGAGCGATGCAAGTTGGACTATCCGTGTTTTTAAACAAGGTGAACAACACGGGTAGTCTAACCCCTAACAGCATGGCTCTGAGGAAAGCGAATCGCTGAAACGTCGGCCATTGGACAATAACAACAGCAACAACAACAACAATAACAAGAGCAACAACGACAACTACTTATACTAACCTGGTATCGGCTCAACAAATACATTCGTAAGAACATATCACCTGTAGTCCCGTTGATCATCGAGTGAATCGAGCGGGCGCCAGTAAATCTTCCATTTTTTCTCGTCGCGTGCAAGAGTAGTCCAGTGGGTTCTGCTCGATCTAGAGACTTGCTCAACATCATATCTTTCTTCTAGGCTCTTAGTGAAAAACTCTGACCATCGGATCGCTGGTCTTCCTGCAGCATGTTTGACATTCAGAGGAGTCCAGTCACTAACGGCTCTTGTCCATCGGTAGCCATTTATACGCATTGCGTGCCCGGCCCACCTTATTTTCGATTGTTTGGCGTACAGAATAACGTCCTTGATTTTTGATCGTTTAAGGAGGTAGGCGCTTCGTTAAAAAAAAGTGAAAACATATGTTTATATATATAAAACAATGCATATCTTTAAAATCAGAAAATCTTTCCAATAGCATAACGGAGATTGCAAAGAAAAATTCTAACATACTATGGAACAATCAAAGTATTTTCTTTCGCTTTTCCGTCGTCGACACTTGTATTTCGATCAAAGCAGTTGAAGCGTCTGGTTTTTGTAGGAGAGGGTAAGATGGTGCCCCATAGTATGTAGTGACGATTGTGGTTGTTATTCTTGCGTTAGCAGTTTGAAAGGGAAGAACTTCGGATTCATTTTTTTACAGACGTAAATGGTTTTGAACGAATTTAAGCTAAGAAAACTATTCGAAGAACATTTATGCACCTAGAGCGATAGACTAAAGCTTTCTTTATTAGGCTATCAATTCCCAACTCAATAACTCCAGTTATCGAAATATTAATGGCAGTTGTCAAAAAACCAGCATCATTGGCTACGTCTTAAATAAAGCTGCAAAAGCCAGCATCATTTGTTATGTGTTAAACGGAATTGCAATGTGGCAAAACAAACGAGGTGGCACGTCAAGGTAAACTACAGTTATTTTTTCCTAATTTAGTAATATTTACCTCTAACGAGGTTGTTTTGCTCCCCAGTAGACTAAAATTCCTTCTCCAAATCACCACATCAAAATCATTTCCTAGTTTTTTTTAATCGATCTGCTCTTTTAATAGAAGCTCTAATTTTATCGCTCTAGTAAGTTCGGGTCTACATGGACCTCCTAACGGTTCACTGCCTCATCGTGGTTAGGAGGTGTTCTTGGGTGGCGGACTGCGATGTACATTGGGAAATTCATCTCCCCAGAAGGGCCTCCCAAGCTAAGAAGAAGTCCGGCCTTCCAATCAAAAAGTCCAGCTGAGGGTAAACCAATATTAGGATTCACCACCGTCCTGGTATCAAACTAGTTGCTTGGCGGAAAATCATCCTCTGATCCATAAGGGAGGCGATTGCCTATGGCGGTCACGACCGCCGAAGACTTTGGCCTGGCTGACCTCGTGACACCAGCGAAACAATGACTAAACCAACAAAACACCGGAAAATTGGAAATTGAGCTGGACCTGGGCAACCAATGAAAACATGGCATCTGAGTATTCAAGTATCCAAGTGCGTAAGTCCAGGTTACGTAAATAGGAACAATGTGGACCTGCACTTCCGACCCTAAAACTTCGTTTCCAAAGTTGCTTCTTGCGTTGTTCTTTTGATATTAAATATGGTTAAAGCAAATCCATTGTTGGCCAAAATTTGTTTTGTCAGAAGAAAGAAAAAAACCAAAAGTGATATTTTGTTAATATGTATTCTTTCTTGATAAGCTTACACGAGGTTGATAAATATATTTATTTTCGGCTAACGTTTCGACGTCTTCGTCTTCCTCAGAGCCGGTGATCCGAGTCGATGGTCCCTGCTTGTTGTTCGCCTCGACGTTGCGTCTTCGCCTTCGTGTCGAGCCAGATCTTCTTCAGTGAGCCATCTTCTCGAATGAGGCATCCTCACTCAGTGATGCCCTTTTATACACGATGCTGATGGTAGATATATAATGACAATGTCCGGTGGTAACAACTTGTATTTCTTCCGAACATACATCATCACACCAAGTTCATTCCAACCGCGGAGGAGTGGAAGACTTAGTGGGCCACCGGAGCGGGATCGAACCCATGTGTATTTCAGGACACCTCTAACGTTAGATGTGGCTGTATCTATGTTCGATAAACGCATAAAAAGTACAGTATAAAAAGCTGCCTGGTGTAAAATACAACCACAAAAATGAATATCTACTGTAATCATTGCATGTTCTCCACCTTGCAACCCCTCGCAAGAGATAATTCCAATGCATACCGTCACTCAAGTGTTGGTTACGAGCAATCATCACAGATCGTGCTTTGTCAATTTCACAAAGAATTTTAGTTTTCATTCTAAAAGAAGGAACGAACAAGTTCAAACAAAAAAGACAGATCAGTGAGCAGACTTCTTTTTATCACAACGTACAACAAGATTGAGATATGTATACTTGCATGCACAAATTTTACGAAAGGACGTCTCGAATCTAGAGCAAACTGGCAGGTTAAAATTTAGAAAAAACAAACAAATATGACCTGCATAATTTATCGTAAAGCTAACGACTTAAATTGAAATCTACAAAACGTTCAGTTATTCTCTATCGGTAAAATCCTACCGCGAATGATGTTTTACTGAAAATCTGTTGTGAAATAACCGGTAAATATGGACATACGAAGGAAATATTGGGAGCTTGGAGCAAACCCACTCTGTTCTAAGACTACAAAAAAACGAATTTAGCCATTTTTTCGGTTACACTTCAGTGGAGAAATGCAGAAAAAATTATAAAATTATAAAGGCACAGATTCTATAGGTGAATGGGAAATTATAAATAAACGGCATTCAAGAAAGATGGAAATAAATTAAACAGTCTTGGAAATGGTATAGTACATATGAGCTGCAACAAAAGACGAAGACCGAAAGAATCGAAAAAAAACACTGTGAAGCAGAATCTAGTGAGCTGCAGATCAGTGTAGTTCTGAGAATTCTGGTATCCGGAAAAATCCAACAGGAAAAATTGAAATGAATACCGGTATGAAGAAGAGCCCGTGAATAGCGCCGATCACCATCGTCAGCCAGATGGTTTTAAAAAATACTAGTATAATGTATGCATCTACTGTGTACAAGATTGTTATCCCAGCAATTGTTGATGAGGCACCCTAAGAAAATGTGATCATCCAAACACTAGCTAACAATTGAAATTATTTGGCAACATTGGTTTTCTGACCTTTACGAAATTCTGTTTCAGTAGGGCTTCACGTTTTTGGTGAAACTACAGATTTTAATAACACATTTCTAATAGGGTCAGCAGCCTTTCCCTACATCGCTAAACTTCTCAAATGTTGCCCCAAACTAAAAATGAAATTTCTTACACCTAAAGTAACGTTGCCCACTTTTCTATTCACGTTGTTATTTCATCCTCTATCCTAGTAAAATTGGGTGAGATACGAACAGGGAAATCGATAAATCTACCTGAAATATCGGCCAGCCAATCGTTTTAAGCGCTCCAATAACTCGTTCGCTGGTGTCACCATGGGAGGAGACAAAGGCGTAGACGATATGTCCAGACAAATCGACGGCAAAACCAATACTCATTATGATCGAGATCATGGACACAGCGTCCAGATTGACTCCCCAAAGCGTCATGTAGCCGAACACGCCCACATTTATTGAAACAATCGAAACAAATATGATGAAGCCTGAAATTAAACACTTGTATTACTCAAGTAAAAAAACGATCATTCTAAAGTATTTGCTTCATTTTATGCTGTTGTTTGACGCTAAAGTTCTACATAACGTCTTTTTCGCTTTTGTGGGCTTTTGACGTACATTAGTCATTTTTTGAGGAAGAAAATGGTTTTTAAAATTGAAATTGAAAAGTTCCTCCTTATCAATGAAATCGGATTTCCTAAACTGTTGACGCTTGTAAGTCTGTAGGTGCTAATAAGGCCATTTAAAAATGATTTTAAAAACAGCGCATTCTAAGAGATGGGATATTCTCCATTACCTATCTCTCTTTTCTATATATATATATATATATAGAAAAGAGAG